CTCCATCCTTTAAAAAGTATGACTTTTTAAATGAATACATGTCAAAGGTTTTACATTAGCCATTCATTAATAAGAGAACCAGTAAAATGTTATAACTAGTCTAAAGGAAAATCCAAAGAGTAGATCCATATGTAAGCAGTGGAGAGCACCAAAATGAATTTGTAAGTAGATGCACCACTGCCTTCTTCCATGGGTACAGTGGTGTCATTACTGAATGAGATTTATTTGCAGGGGTAAGGTGGGGACTGGGGACAGTGATATCATCACTGGATGAGATTGATTTGAAGAAATGTCAGTTTTCTATAGCATAGAGTTATAAAATAGTTCAGTTAAAGGAGCCAAGCAGTATAGACTCCTATAGAATTAGATAACCCAGAAGACAAACCAAATACCAGGCCAGTTTTCCTGGAAGGGCTTTGTAGAACTTGGCTCTATGAGTTCCTAAAATGGCAAGTTATTTCTGATTCTATGAGCACATTGTTAAATATGACACTACAGGTAAGGGCTTGATTATACAGTTGGTTTGCCCAGTTATATCTTGAGAATAAATTCTCATTGAACCTATGCAAATGACTATAATTGCCAGAAAAATTAAGGGGACTAGTTAGCAGTTTTGAAATCTGGGTTATCAGATTGCCTATCACTTTTTTAATGTTTTGATTTAAATTGTGAAAGTAGAACTTACTAAATTATAGGTTTGTGATGGCCTTAAAATAAAAGAGAAACATCCTCATATATCCAGAAAATAGAACATTAAAACAGCATCAAGCCAGGCACTGGAGGCTCTTGCCTGTAATCCTAGTTACCTGGGAGGCTGAGACCTGGAGGATCTCAGTTCAGGGCAGCCAGAGCAAATAGTTTTCAAGACACCCCATCCCATCTCCAAAATAACCAGACAAAAATGGATGAGAGGCATGGCTCAAGTGGTAGAGTGCCTGCTTCGCGAGTGCAAAGCCATGAATTCAATCCCCAGTCCCACCCAAATACATATATATTCAGCAGTATTCCAGACAAATATCTACAGTAAAATTTCCCTCTTCAGTCCTGTTCATTCAGTCCTGCCTGCAAATGAACTGCAGTTAATTCTTGTCTTCTGGTTCTTGATTTAGCAGTTCATGTTCATGAAGCCATCTGCATCCAAACTGAAAAGTATCCAGTAATCCTGACTCAGTCCAGTAGCACCACTTAAAAATTGTCTAAGTAGTATTAGCTCAGTGGCCTGTGCCCAAGAGTCTCTCCTTTGAAATATCAGTATTTTCAGATGTCTGGTACACTGAGTCCTTTTCCATGAAACTCTGAGGCTATCCTTAATAGCAGAGCCTTCAGACAAGTATCGGAGCAATACCAAAAGTATCTGTAGATTTCAGAGACTTAGTAACTTAATGATTAATACGTCCCTGTGACCAATCATATCAGAATGAGGGAGATAAAAATTCTGTATTATACAGATACCCTTTATAGCTATTTCTTAAGAGTTTTGAGGAATGTGTAAAAAACATTATAGACAATCAGGGCATTGGCAAATATCAAGTTCTTCCCATTAAAAAATAAATTTCTGAAATGTATTAATAACATTTTGCTAATACTGATTCACCTAAGGAAGGTTGACATCTCCTTCCATGCAACTCTTTTTTTTTTTTTTCTTCTCTTTTCTCTTATTGTGGTGTTGGGTATGGAATGCAGGGCCTCACAAATGCCAGGTAAACACTCTACCACTGAGCCATACCCCCAGCCTCAACTGTTAAAATAGTAGCACATCAAATGCAGTTATATATAGCATCTCTCTTTTTATGAGGTGATGGAACAAATTTTTATGGTTTTCCAGGACTTCTCTGGGAAATCTCAAAGAGAGATTTAAGGCATTAAAACATCTTAAATATTTTATTTTTTCAGAAGGAAGGTTCAATCTGGAAAAGCTGAGTTGAAAGCATTATCAGAGAAGTCCTAGGTACTTGGTTAAGACAGGAGCATGGGTGCTCAAGAAACAATACCTGACCATCTATACTGTCAAAGTAGGAATAAACATCCAAAATAATACAATTTTAAAGAATTGAGCCCTTTTCACAAGTGAAGTTCCTTTGTTCCTTCCCCTTCAAATAATCAAAGACATTAATCAAGACAGTTACAGCACTGAAAATAGTTCTGGTGGTACACAGAATCTCTGCCTTCTAGGCAGATTCCACAGAAGGTAAAGAATATGCTTTACACTGTCATCAAAGGCATTAATCAGTAAACCAAGGAAGGAAGCCATCACAACTGAGGGAACTCAGCCAAAACTTGTAATGCTTTGTGTAGCTTTGCTTTAGACTCAGATACTATAAAACAAAGCAAATAAAAATCACTTTCCAAGGTGTGCCCTTTCTTTTCCCCTCTCATATTCTGGGACGTGTTGATGCTTTAGAATTGCCCTTAGCATCCTTTCCCTCAAAAGTATACAGTGGAGTTTTCCAGAGGCAACCTGATAAGTGATGTCATAATAAATACAGAAAGGTACAAGTAGCTAGCTCCTTTTTGATTTTTGAGACAGGATCTTGCTATGAAGCTCAACTGACCTTAAACTCACTATGTAGCCCAGACTGACTTCAAATTGAATAATCCTCTTGCCTCAGGCTCCTGAGGTGCTGGGATTACAGATGTGCACCACCTGACCTGCATCTGTTAAGCCAGACGTTAGAAAGATTTTCAAACACATTAAACAGGGACATTTTTCTCAACAAAAATTTTTTTCTTTTATTGATGTATTAACATGTTATAGTTGTTCTGTGGGTACATTGTAACATTTACAAAAGTGCTTACAATCTATCTTAGTTAGATTCACCCTTTCTATCTACTTTAACCTCCCTCTCACCCTTCTTAGATGAATTTCAACAGGTCTCATTGTTCCATTTTCATAAACAAATACATAGTACTTACACCATTTTCGCTCTCCTTTATGCTTTCCTTATGCCCTCCTCCCTCCCACTGGTACCAAACCCCAGACAAGAGGTTTTACCTCCCTATCCTTCATTTAAAAAAAAAAAAAAGGCTTTTTTGTTTGTTTATGATGGTTATAGAAGGAGTTTTATTGTGACATTTCCATATATATACATACATAAATATGTATGTATCCATGCATGCGTGTGTGTGTGTGTGTGTGTATGTATATATACATACTGCCCCAAATTGGTTCATCTCCTCCATTATTCTTTCTACCTTAGTCCTCTTCTTAGGTGATTTCAACAGGTTTGAATGTTCCATATTAATACTGTACATCAACTATATTCACCTTCTTTACTTTCATTTACCCTCCCCCTTCTATTATTGCCCTCCCTTTAGTGTGACTTGTTTTACATTCTTGATCTTCATTGTCTAGGTGTCTGTTCATTGTTCAGTGGAATTTTTACCTTGGTATTTTGCCTGTAAGTGTATTGTGCCTAAGTCAGTCTAACCCCCCTCATTGCTTTTTGGCCTTTTGACTAAGCTCATCTGTAGAATCCAGTCCCCCTCCACTACTCTTCCTTACCCTTTTCCCCCACCCTGTGTTTCTCAGCAGTTTTCAGGGTGTTTTGTTATATCTTGTTTCTACACAGATGTGATGTATCTCATTATTGTTGACTATCTTTCTTTCCGTTTCCTCCTCCCTTAGTCTCCTTTACCAGTTCCACTTTTGGGTACATGTTCCGTATATACTTATATGTATATATGATATTGCTTGTATTTGTCATTGGGCCTTTATTCCACATATGAGAGAGAACATGTGGCTTTTGTCAGCAAAAAGTTTTGACAAAATATATTTTTCACAGATATGTGATGTTGTAATGGATTCATTGTTTAAATTTTCAAATGAATATTTCTTAAATTTCTCAGATTTAATTTAAAATGCAGTAAATATTAGTAATTATCATTCATTTAAACCAAAGCTCTTTGGTGTTCCCAAATAAGTTTTACGAGTATAAAGGGATCCTGAGACCAAAAAGTTTGGGAACCACTGATTTAAGATAAAATATGCTTTTTCTTTTGAAAACAAAATTGCATACACACTGGTATTTCTTTTTCACCTGGCATGGTCTTAACCACTCATTTTAATTATAGTAATTACCAAAAAAAGTGGAGAAGAGATGATATAGACAACTGAGAACTGTCTGTCACATGCAAATATTTTAACAGAGTACCAAAGCTCAGCATTTTCAGTGTGACATACATTACTTTCACATCACCAATCTAGATATCAAAGAACTGTCCTCTGTCCCAGGAGATGTAAAATTCTTAATTGACTTGAGCTCAAAAATGACCAAGAAGCCAGATACCTTGTTCTTTCTCATCTAACAGAGAATACATCTTTATAATTTATTGCTAGTGATAACCAAATTGTCAGACCATAAAACTGAATTCTCATGATTTTTACCACCAAGGGGAACAACTTGTCAGCCATGCACAAACTAATAAGGAAAAATGAAACACAAAATCAGGAGAAAGGGAATAAAAACTGGAGCAATAGAAGTCAGTAAAATTCAAGTTAACCGCTTTGATTCCCTCTGAAAGCCAAAAAAAGACCAGGGCTTAAGTACCCCCGAGGTGTATACCTCTGGCAGCACAGCTCCTTAGCTCTGCCAGCTAGATCCAGTGGGCAGCTCAGTCCAGTTTAGCTTAGGCAAATCCTATAGAAGGTAAAGAATATGCCTTCATATTGTAGTCACAGGCATTCATCCTAATCTCAAAGGATTGTTTTCAAAAATAAAGTCATGATTCTTGAACATGTGCCATAGATCTTAATTAACTAAAGGTTATAACCTGTTCAACAATCTGCCTTAAGTTTTAGTAACTGACAAAGGCTGCCTTTCCCTGGGGCCTGAGGGAGTTGAAGCACCATTTAGGCTTCATTTAAGACTGACTCTTAGCATGTTGAAGATTACATCAGTTTTGTTATATCCACACTGGAGCTCACAAGTAAATCTGTACTTTGCCTGGTTTCTGTCATTTGCTCTACTGAATTGTTAACCAGTCCTTGGTTTCTTTCACAGTGACAAAGTCCAGGCCCTCTCCTATGCACAGCACACACGGCAGCTAATCTCATGTGGCGGTGACGGTGGCATTGTCGTCTGGAACATGGATGTGGAGAGGCAAGAGGTCAGTGTCACAGGAGGCTGGGTTGAACCCATCAGTTCTGCCTTGCCCACCCCTCCTGCTTATTTCTTATTTCTTTGATGATTAAACCATGAAATTAAATGCATCATGTCAGAAAATTAAACATTACAGTATAAAAGAAGTTCCTATTTTTTTCCACCCCTAACAAATTGGCATGTAACATTTATGTGATAGATTTCATAAGAATTTTAACTGAGACTAAGCTGTTTAGACTTTAAATCTGTTACACCACTCACAGCAAAGTATAGGTAAGAAAAGGGAACCATCTATTTTCTGGTGATTTGCCCTGTAGTATAAAATGTCCTGTAAAAATAGAAAATTCACATGCTTTATGTTAGTAAGAAGGAGTAAGAACCCTTACCTTGGGTAAGGCAGAAGTGCTAGAGATAATATTTTTGTAATTCTTTATGAGTAAGGTTCTAAGCAGCGCCTCACATGAGTATACTTTGTCTTTTTTAAGTACATATTAAAGTTTTACCTTAACACTTTTTTTAAAAACAACTTGCTTTTAATCTTTAAGCATCTTAACTAGTTTGTTGAATATCCCCTTTGACAGTGCTTTGAAGTTAACCGTTTTTCCATTGCCATAGCATTATATTCTGGGTAGATTTTCCCTTGGACAGTGCATGTTCTTTTAATTTATTTCTTGCAGGATGTAAGAATTAGATAGAAAAGGAACACTTTCCAGAGACAAAAGTGATTTCCCCAGTTCTTTCCATGTCCTCACCCCAGTCTCTTCAAGAGTGTTGCTGTTACCCACAATGTAATGCCTTTCAAATGCCAGTAATTAAACGCTTAAGAAGATTAAAGCTTTATTTTCTCAAGCCATAAATCCACAGGAGTTCTATTAGTAACTAATTAAACTCATCATTACTGTTAGGAAGTGGAGAATTGTGCGATATTGCTTTTGAAATGTACATTTGGCACCATCTAGGGCATTGTTTCAGTGAATGCTGGTCATGGACACCAGGGTTCCCTGTGACTGGGGATTGTGTCCTGGCTTGCGTTCTGCATGGTAACCTGCTTTGGGTTAGGGATAGCCATACCTAGTCTAGCTTGGTTTCTGTTTTGTCTTGTTGTTATTGTTATTGTTTATGGAAGAAAGGCCCAAGGACAATGATGATACGGTTTCCGGAGATGGAAGCCAGGTGTTTGTGGGGGGAGTTCTTTGAGTCATCTTTCTTAAATTATGTTTCTTGGTATTCATATTTGTGGGCATTCATTATTTGTTGATGAATTTAAAGCCTTTGTAAGTCAATGCTCTAAATAAGGAGTGGAAATGTTTCCATCCATCTTTTGCAGATATCATACTTTATAAACCTAAGTGTCCTGAGATCGTTTTTGTAACTGTGGATGTAAGGAGCTACTTCCTGGTATGGCAAGGTCTGAGAGGTGCTCACTTTGAGAAGCCTGAGATATCTGATGAAGCATTTCCTAATCTGAAATGCTGACAGACTTTCTGGAAAATTCAAAATGTTATTAAATGATATAAGTGATAAAATTGCAGTCAATATAGGCTAGGACGTCAGCGCTGTGTTTTTCAGAGAGGTGTTGTCACGGCTGGCTAATGTTCTCAGGAAAAGGTTTAGGGAAGGAATGGGGTCTGGCCACGCTCTGATCAGGAGCTTCATGGACTTTGCAGTTCAAGAAGTACCAAGATTAAGGTCAAGGTGAAGGTGTGAGGTGGTACGTGAGCGCTCAAGAGCAAGTTTGCAGTATTCAGAGGTAAGAGCATGACAGGTGGAGGACAGTGAGGGCTGACTGGATGCAGATCGAGCTGACATCACATATGTTAGTTTATTTATACCGTTAATAAAATCCATTTTTCGAATGTGTCATTTTTTACAATATGTATTATTGGTAATACATGTTCCTTTAAAAATGTTATAAAATGCTCATTAACAAATAGGAAATAGGCCCATTACTTGTAATAACACCACCCAGAAATAACACCCTTCATGTATTGGCAGAACATCCCTCCCAATTCCGTCCTCACAGATGCCCATTGTGATATAGACGTGGTATGTGTCCTAACCAAGGGTGTGTGTGTGTGTGCACAAGTGTGTTAAGGTTTATGTAGCTGGTGCTGTACTACAAGGCTGCACCTTTTCTCCTGGAACCATTGAGCTCTTCTCTATGTATCTTGGGTGACCTCTGCATAAGATCCCATGATACATAGCAGTCACATTTTTACCTCTCTGTTCCTCATAGATTGCCACAAACACCCATATAACCTCTTGTCCATGTCCCCTCACAGACATATCTGGAACTGATCCAGGTGTGTTCTTGATTTTCCTAAATGACAACCAAACAGCTATACTCACTTGTACTTCTAATGGAAGGCAGGGAGTTTCCTGTCCTGATACCCCGTGTGCTTACCAACAGTTATTCCTGCTCCCTTTCCAGTTCTACCCATTTGGAGACTAGGAAAGTCATATCTTTGCTTTTATTTGCATTCTCGACCTAATAGTAAATTTGAGCTTCTCTTCATATGTTTTAGCTACTCATGCTTCTCTATGAATTGTATGTTTGTATCTCTTGTATCTTCTGCCAAGTTTTCAACTGCTTCATGTTATTTCCTTATTGATTTGCAGGAGCTCTTTGTATATTGTAGATATTTGCAGGAGTTCCTTGTTAGAGACACTTTGTAAATATCTTCTAGTCTGTTAACTTTGTGCCATGTGTATTACTTAATATCTGGGGTTTTTCGGTTCATTATTTATTGAACGTTTTTCATGTTTTTAATTATACTAAATTAACATTTGAGAAATTATTCCATAAACAAATATTAATACTGTTCCTTCAGTTCTCTATGGAACACATTAATATGTTTTTCACTGTAGGAATTTGACTCTAATTCAGTGTTTTCAGGTCACAGTAGAAATTACTGATTGACCCAAGTCTGATTATAAATTCTAGGCATCATTTGATTTATTTGCACAACAACTAGGTTTTTATTCTTTTTTTTTAATATTTCTGATTCTTCTATGATATATGTTCTGAAAAATTACAACTTATTTAAGTCTTTTCAAGGTAAAATATTGTCTTTAGCTAAGAACTTAGTATTAATGTATTAAGTCTGTCTTTACACTAAATAGGGCGCAAAAATTACAAAATGAGTCAAAGCTTACTCCTTTTCGTTTGGTTTTAATAAAATAAATAAACCAGGAGTAGAGCTCTTTAAAAATCCCCTTTTCACTTGTCTTTTGAGAAAATGTATAGTTTTAGTTCATTTCTGCCAGAAGGTAGACGAGGCAAATCCTAAAGGCTTATCCTCAGAAAAGGGCCCATTAACTATAAAAGGATGCCAGGGCCTCTACCAAGCTGCTGTCCACTGTGAATGTCTGCAGGGGGTGGGCTGCAGTTCATGGCATTTCTCAAACTTGTTTGCTCTCAAGACTCTTTTATAGTAAGTGTCTGGTGAATCAGATGTTCTCTGCAGCTCACTTTTGGGAAGCCCTGGGGTTGGATGTATTTGTCAAGGTTCCTTGAGTTCTGTGCTGGGTAAAAAAGGAGGTAATTTCCTCTTGTCAAGTGATAAATTCTGCAAAGTTGCACATTGGACTCTGGAACCAAACACAGTCACCTTGCAAATCTGTAAAGACTTGCTAAAGAATGACTTTAAATGGAACACACTTTTAAAACCTGTCTACTGTTTTAAAATCTGACTACTTACAACAGGGTTAGAAAATAGTGAATAATGCCCAGAACAGTGTGTGACCCATAAGCCAAGGAGCAGAACCTCTGTGGGACCCTGTCCTGAGCGAGCAGTGGCCATGTTGTAGTGAGGTTATATCAGTCCAGCATGGGCAGCTGTGCGTTTATGTAATGTGCAGTTAAATATCATGGTACACAAACAGAGCATAGGTGATCACATCCAATAGGATAAGTTCCAAGTCCTCAACATGACAGTCAGGACCCTGTGTAGTACAATTCCTGCCACCCCCTCCAGCCTCTCACCCTGTCACCTGTCTGCTTTCCAGCTCCCTTTGCCCAGCCTCCTCCCATCCATCATTGGGTCTCAGCTGCCTTGCCATGCACAGGGAACCCCAACCTGGGTCAGAGCCCCCTGCTTTCATCTCTACCTTAGTACTCTGTGCTTCCCCTCAGGCTTTGAACTCTTTGTCTTATTGAATAATTACTGGTAGTATTTTCATGGCTGGTCTTCCTGAATGAACTGTATACTCCACGAAAGTAGAAAATACCTTTATTCACCACTACATCCCATCCTGCAGCCCAACACATGCAAGACACTCAGTAAATACTGGCACTCAGAAATGACTGACTGAGAAATCAGCCCTGTTTCTGGTAACTACATCCTGATTCCAGAAGTTTCCTCAGTATCACTTTCTCCTTTGTCCACAATTGCTCCTCATGTGACCTGTTGTGTGCTTTATTTGTCAAGACACCTGAGTGGTTGGACAGTGATTCCTGCCAAAAGTGTGATCAGCCTTTCTTCTGGAACTTCAAGCAAATGTGGGACAGTAAGAAAATTGGCCTGAGGCAGGTAGGTGGAGTGGATGCTTCATCAAAATGTACTTGTGTGGAAGTAATTTAGCCTTGTGACCTTAAAAGAAGTAGCCCCCATGGCGAGAGTTGTGGTGGGGAAGTTATCCTGTAGTTACCTGTGACAGAACCTTAACTTACCCCCCGCCAGCGCATTCTGACTAGATTCCATTTCTGTAGTGATTTGTTCCCAGGAAGTGGTTGTGGGATACATTGCAGAATTCTAATGGCATCTGCCGAAATACACCTTGAAAATCAGAGGCGTCATGCTTAGCTCACATTGGTTCCAAACCATGAAATTATATAAATGATATTTATTTCTCCTTAATTATGTTATTTTTCCCTCCTTCTGGTTTGGTTTTAGCTATTTAGACCTGCTTATGATACAACATCTTTGATCTAATTCCATGGTTCGGTCTGCTCTTCCCCAAGGAAATCAAGTGTTAGGTCACCTAGGCTGAACATGGCCAAAGTTATAGACAGTGAGTTGGGTCAGGTTTCATCCATGTTCCACTTCATCCAGCAGTGATCTCTGCAGGTGGCACCCAGCTTTAAGATTACCTGTCACTGGGTGCTTCCTCTGTATTTCACAGGAATGGTTACTGCAAAGGACGGAGGAAGGGAAAGTGGGAGAGGGGAAGTGGCACTGTCAGCTGTGTTTCCCAACAGTCCTCATTCTGAACACAACCCAAACGGAGGAGAACCCTGCTGTGCCCCTATTAGGCACTGGATTGCCCCATGGATTGACCTTGAACTCACGTTCTTCCTGCCACAGCCTCCCAAGTGATGGGATTATAAGCATGCACTACTATGCCTGGGTCTGAGGCACTCTTGCCTGGCACCCTCACCTAATGGTGAGAAGGGCATCGTGGAGCCATAGCAGCCTCTGTTTTCTCTCCCTCCCCAGCACCACTGCCGCAAGTGTGGGAAGGCCGTCTGTGGCAAGTGCAGCTCCAAGCGCTCCTCCATCCCCCTGATGGGCTTTGAGTTTGAAGTGAGGGTCTGTGACAGCTGCCACGAGGCCATCACAGATGAAGAGTAAGTTCCCGTGTGTTGCAGGATCCTCAGTCTGAGAGCTGTACTCACCCCAGCCATGGACCATAGGACCCCATGGCTCCTGCTGGTGTAGAGTATAGACCATGGCAAGTGCTAAAAGCCCTTCTTTGCCACCAGGAAATTTGTGTGATCTTGAGAGACGTAAAGAGAGACTATGCTCTGTTGACTCTATCATTCTGTCTTCCTTTCCCTTGGCCTTCCCTTGGAGGAGGCCCCCAAGTTCCATATAGTAGTTCCACTATTACAAACATGTTCTGTATATAAATGTGTATATGGTCATGTTTCTCTTTGTGTGTATGTTTATCTTTTGGATCTATCTTCCACATGTGGGAGAAATATGTGGCCTTTGTCTTTCTGAACTTGGTTTACCTCACTTAACATGATGTCCTCCAACTCCATCCATTTACCTACAAACAACATAATTTCATTCTTCCTTATTGCTGAGTAAAACTCCACTGTGTATAAATACCACATTTTCTTAATCCATTCATCAGTTGTAGGGCATGTGGGTTGTTTCCATAGCTTGGCCTTTGTGAATAGCACTAAAATAAACATTGGTGTGCAAGTGGGAAAAAAAAGAGAGAGAATATGCTCAAAGAACTCATCTCCATGCTCTCCTTAATCCCAGGGGTATATGCATTTAAGAAGATGTTGAGTAAACCCCTCTGTCCGCTGATTTTACTGAGAATTGCACAGGAGTGCGGAAGCCCAGGGACTGGCTTTGTTGTCCAGGCTGCTATCTTTACAGGAGTTGAATCAGCCCATGGGCTCCAGTAGGTTTCAGTTTCCAGGAAAAGCTAAGCCACTGTACCTAAGATGCAAATAGTCCCAATGCCCACTGCTCAGCTGGCTGTTTACCAGTCCTGTTTTACGCCTGCTGAGAAGGTATGTTTTGGAAGGTGGGCAGATCTGTGTTGCTTCTTTAATGTTGGCTAATTGAAAAACTGCCCCCAGGTGCAAACAGAGTGCTCTGAAACAAGTTTGAAGGTAGAGAGCTGCAGGAGGATGGCATGTACTCCCCATCTTCCATCACTGTGCATACAGGCAGATAATTCTAAGTATTCTTGTTTACGTATCAAATACAAATTGAGATGCCCTTGCATAAGTGAGCATTTATGTCCATTGACTATTTCCACTCGTCGTACATGATGAAATTAATAAGAGTTCTTCTCATCAAATTGAGACCTTGGAGATAATCTAATTCAATTCCTCATTTTATAAAGACAGATCAAAGTTTAAGGGACTTACAAATTAAGCCTAAGTCTTTAATTCTGAACAGTTAATGTGATCAGTTTTAGCATACTGTAGATCTCTCCTGTGGATTTAGCTATAGAAAAAAGAAAGAACACCATCTTCGGAGAGCTCACTGTGGTGGAGTGGGCCCCCCTTGAAACATGACTAGGAACAGCTGTCTGCTTGACTGTCTCCCTGGCTTCCCACCTGCCTGTGACTTCCGCCTCTTCTCCATGGAAGCACTGAGTTGCCTCTAGAGCACCTGGGCAACTGACAAACCTTCTTACTAATGCTTGTTAAAGCTTTAGAACACTACAGAAAAGCTTAAGTTTGAAGTTTACCAGTGAGAAAAGAAAAAACAAAAACCAAAAAAAAAAAAGATGGCCTTTGATTAGAATGACCTAGGCATTGGAAAAGCTCACCTTTCTTTTTTAATTTAATAGGCCAAGGTAGACTATTTTACTGGCACTTGTCATTTGAATACAAATTTAGCAAAAGTATTGGATTTTTAAAAGACTTCTCAAAAGCGCATGGAGAGCTGTTCATGACTCCATCAGAATAGCACATTCTCCTGAAAGGACCTTTGAAGATTTCATCTTCTTCCCATTTTGGAGACTATAAGAATCCTTTTACCTTATTATCTTTTTAAAATCATATACTAGATCACCAGGGAATAAAAGCAAGTCTGGGAGTATTTCTAACAGTGAAGCAGTTTTAGCTATTAGGCCAACAATGAGAGTGCAGTGTTACTCTAGATTTCCATAATTCATGTGGCCACCTCTTACTCTGATCTTGCTCTTCCAGACGTGCTCCCACAGCTACCTTCCACGACAGTAAGCATAACATTGTGCATGTGCATTTTGATGCAACCAGGGGGTGGTTACTGACTTCTGGAACTGACAGAGTTATTAAGGTAAGTTGCCAACTTCCAAGCTTTCCGTTTGTGGTCTTGTAAATACACTGTGAGGCTCTGCTCAGAAGGTTAACCTTGGCATGAGCAAATTTGAGAGCCTCTTGCATGCATGGTTCCAACCTGCAAGGAACGGGTTACCTATGTGGGACAATAATAAGTCACATATAAAGCAGTCAAAAGAGTAACACAGAATTATTTTAAGCATTCAGCAGAGGGAGAGGGTGCCCCTAGAGAAGGTGTCATGAAGCAGGTGGGATTGAGCGGGGCATTGAAAGGAGATAGGACTTAGATAAACCAACCATTGATAAACAAGAACTTTTCCCACTGAGATCAATTATTCCAAGAATGTTTATCCAGGGCCCCTCTGGGGACTGTCGCAAATCAGATGGATCAAGTGCCACAGCAGAGGCCTAGGACAGAAGGGGCTGCTGTGTGTTATTCCCATCCCATTCTTGGAACAGCAGCAAGATGAGGAGGTTAAATAACCCCTGTGGAAGCCTTGGTTCCTTTATTTTTGACATCTTATGAATTGTTTGGAAGACGAAATGAGAAGAGATGGAAATAGCACAGCATGTGCTTGGTGTCCAGTGTTTGGTAGCTCCCTCCCCCTTCAATGGATCTGATCTGCCTTTATTCTCCATTAGCTAGAGCAAAATGTCAGGCTGCCCTTGTCGTGGTTTCGGGCTTTATAGATTTAGAAAATATGTTAGTGGAGTAGGTAATTGCTTGTTAAATGAAAAAAAAAATTCACTTGAGTTCAATTTCTTGAGTTCTTCATTAATACAATTTGATTTTAGTTCCTTTCTCTTCTTTTTGTCTTTACAGTTGTGGGATATGACCCCGGTAGTATCGTGATGGCTCTCCCAGGAATTAGGAAGATAGTTTTCACTTAAAAAACGGTTGTTCTAATCCAAATCAGTACTAGAGAATAAAGCAGATGTGTGAGCAGGAAGAGACGCTGAAGACACTGGTGAATTGCATCTCCCTTGTTCAATCTGTGGTGAACTAGGACAGAACACTTGCAGGGACTCTTCAGCTTGTTCATACAGTGTAAAAGAAGATATTTTTTTTATCAAATGGCTTATACAGTCTGGCTCTGCTACATTGTTTTGAGTGTACTGAAAAAATCTGTGTGTGGAGTTTAACTTTTCTTTTGTCAGTCCTCCATTTTACGTGTTGCTTTGTGTGTCAGAGAAATGAGGCACATATCTATTCAGGGTATTTTGGCCACTATAAAATAGTTGTGTCATGTGGCCAGTATCATTTTCTTCTCTTCTGTCTTCATCTGCCCACACCTTCTGCTTTTCACCAGAGTATATGTAATTTACACTGTTTCTTCCTGGGTTTCTGCTTTCAAGCCCTCAGTGGAGAGAGTTGGAAGACTTGTGTGGATCAACCAGCTGAGTTCTTCAATCACCTGAAAAAAGAATGACCCAATTGCACTGTCTAACGCACTTGTGTTCTCACTGAGTAGAAATGACCTTGGATTTCTGTCTCAGTTTTCTCTGTCTTCCCACATTAGAAATGCTGTGAGAAGCTGCTCCCAATCACCCCCTCCCCAGAAGTAGATGCTATAACTTAGAGCTTCAGCCATCAGTGCCTGGATCTTCAGAATTCAGTTGGGGTTTCAGGAGTCTTTTTATGCTTGCTAGCTTGCTTTTTTTTTTTTTTTTTTTTTTTTTTTTTTATATAAGATAGCTCATCTTTACTCGTTAAAACAAAACAAAAACCTACATAGTTCAAAAAAAGAAGTGTCTTTAAGATGTTTTTCTGGGGCTAGGGGCATGGCTCAAGTGGTAGAGCACCTGCCTAGCAAGCACCAAGCCTTGAATTCAAACCCTAGTACTACCAAAAAAAAAAAAAAGAGAGAGAGATTATTGTGTGTGACATCCTCTCTGAACTTCAATGTTTATTACTTGAAGATTATAATTTTGTTCTATTCTTTGCCATCTGTGTTTTGTTCCCCCTTTTAAAAACCAGCTATTTAAACATTTTTGCCTTGATATATTTCATCAGAACTCTTTGTACAATTTCATACTAAGGCTGTAGGTGATCTGAGACATGAAGGTACTGACTCCTATAACTCATGCTGTGTTCCTGTTAAGAACATAGGAGGACTTTAAGAAAATGAACCTGAAGAATTCTTCTAAGGGAATCCAGTCAAGTTTGATAAAATGAAATAGCAACTCACCTTTTAAAAATCTTATTTTTATCTGTCAAAATAGAATTAAAATTATTGGCAAGCTTGTAACAGGTACCTGCTAAGCACTTTACACTGATACCACCTCATTGGATCCTCACCTGTCAGGAGTATCAGGGGATCACCAAGTCAGGTTAAATAAAGTCTTGCAGATAAACAGGCTGATTGCTTCCCTTCTCTGTCATGCCCTACCTCCACAGCATGTGGTTCCCTTCCATTTTGACAGGTTTTGGTGATAGGTAGTAACTGGAGCTGGTTTTTCCCCTCATGAACAGTCTAACTGGGGGAAGTACTACAGGCCATGCTTAGATACCCCCACACACTGACCAAGTGCTTCCTGGGCATGCGGCTTCTGGAGCTGATTCTGCTGCCCAACACTGAGAAGCACGGCCCCTGCATGTGTCTCACTCAGCCATGATGCATGGCAGCTGTCACCTGAGACCACAGCTCTGACGGTGTATGCATGCACATACACACATGCACAGGGAAGGCATCTCTACTTGTCACTTTACTGCCCCTCCCACAGTACTCCTGCTTGCAGTCAGTCAAAGCTGTTATAACTACTTTGAGTCTTTTCTGCATGATTGCTCTGCAAGAGAGCTTTAAAAAGGGAATTAGATGTAACATTCACGTATCTATTTTATAGTTTATTACAAGACCCTGTGAAGTGTTGGAAATTAGTAATAGGAATGAATCACTTTGAACTTCCTTTCTGAACTTCAGAGCTTGGCCTCTGTATGTGGGAAGGAAAGCAGTATTAGGAGGGCAGAGGCTCCAGCACCCACCAAGTCTTGTGCAGATTCCCAGCTAGGTATAGATGAACTCAGACCCCACTTGGGAAGCTGTTTGTCCCCGTTAGATCACGTGTGCACACTGTGTCTCTGTTCCATGACCCTCCCAGCAGTGGTAGAGCCCAACCCACAGAGCCAACTCAGAAGTTGAAGCCACATGAAACCTCAGTGGTGACGAGGATCCTGACTGAAAACCACAGACCCGCCAAGATAGCCTTGCCCTGCCCTTTCTCTCCCCTTATCTGTGTGTGCTTGAATTTGGTGAGAAGAGCTTAGCAAACAGTATGTGTCCACAATACTGTGAATTCCTGTGTTTCTGCATTAGGTGTCTACTAGTTTTGTGGCTGGTAGAAAAATATGGGCTGGTGTTGAGTGTTTTCCAGGCATTTTGGGCAACTGGAGACTTCACTCATTAGGAGTGAAATCTGGCACCAGCACTCTGTTTGTCTCCTCTCTAGGTAAAAAATCATAGTTCTTATTTTATCCTGTGGGGTTTGTACTTTCCTTATATTTTTGCTGTGTTCCTGAAACACAAATAATGCCCAATGTGACTATACTGGGAAGTGGCAGAACTGCACATATTCTACAGTCATTCCCTAGTTGGTGGAAGAAAACCTGTCTCGTGTGAACACCTTGGTTCCTCCAAAGGAATGATGGTACCAGAGCCTCCAGCTGCCAGGGCGCATCCTCACAGGAGCAAAAGTGTACTTAGAATAAGTATTTGGAATCTTAGTTCATTTTATATGAGGTCAATCAACCCTACTGTCTTTCTCATTTGTTTCAATTATTCAAAGAATCATAAAATCACAAAGCTGGAAGAGATCTTGAAATCTAGAATGCTCCATGCAAAAAACACTTCAGTCATACTAGGCAGTTAGATCTAGCTGAGGTATAAACACGACACTCTAAAAGAATATTCAGGAAGCAATTGTTTTTGCACCTTACCTACTAAGGGCATGAGTGGGTGGGGCAGCCTTGGGACAGGAAGTCTCTGGAACCAGGCTCATTCCTCACTGGAGCATGTGAAACACCACTTTAGGTCTGACCCTAAGGTTATGAGTGGGTGTGCACTGTATCAGGGGCAATTACTGCAGTGCTTTACCCACGGGCTGCTTCCCACACTTCCCCTCCTCCAGTCACCCCAGTGGTGAGATTGAAGTGGGACTCCAGAGACCCGGAAGACGTGTGCTATCACCCCATTTGCTGAAGGTGAGACCCCAGTGAGTCCGGGCCTGCAGCATTTTCCCTTCTTGTAGGACATCAGATTTTCATCTTCTGAGGTTTTATTTTTTTTTTAAGCATAATGTATTTTTGTTTAACATTAATCCTTAAAGCTTGAATTCAGGCTTTTAATCAAAAGAATAGCTCCAAACTATGACACAATTAGTGGACATAGATGTTCATTAAGTGAGATTCCTTTGGTTTTTGCCTTTTCAGAGTAGTTTAATTGCATATAAGTGATCTTGTGCACTAAGATTTATATTTTAATGTGAAAAGCATTTGCCGAAATGTTCTTATTTTCTCCTCTTCAATGTTAGGTAAATATTTCTTGATATTTCATTAGGAAATTGATTAGAAAACACAGAAATTAAGTACATTTTGAATACTGATTTATCTAGATGATTCGTTAGATTCTAGTCCAGGTCAAACATCTGTTTTGTTCGGTTTTTTTGAGATGGGGTCTCACAACGTAGCCCAGGTTGGCATGAAACTCATGATCCTCATGCCTCAACCTCCTGAGTGCTGAGATTACAGGTGTGCACCACACACTCAACCTCCACCTACTCTTGCTGAATGGCTACCACATGCCAGGCTTAAACTAGGCCCTGAGGGCAACAGGTCTCTGACGCCCCTCCCTGGATTATGCAGAACCCACACACAGATGAGCAGACAGGCACAGTGTGACAATGTAACAATAGAGGTGTCTTTAGGGTCCCATCCCTCGAGCTGCCTGAGTACCACTAACGTATGTATCAAGGGGGCAGAAGGGACTTGGCAGGGGACATCTGAACTGAGTGACAAAGAGTGAGAAAGAGTGAGTTGAGTAGGACGAAAGAGAATCTAGGCAGAAGCAGTGTCAGCAAGCCCACCATCAAATCTTCCTGGGGAGCCCAAGGATTGTAAGTGAATTGGCATTGCCAGAGAACATTGAGTGGCTCCACTGCACACCGGGGACCAAGCCCTCCTGGCTGTTACACACTGATGCTCCCTGGCATGCCTTGGAGAAGGAAGGCACACACAGCTTCCCGTGACAGTTTGTCAGGGACTCTCCCTATATCAGTGTGTGTATCTGTTTCTTTTTCTTTGGGAAAGTCCCAAAACTTGGTGTCTAAAAATGACCAATAATTACTAATTTTGGGGTCTTTCTGGATACACTACCTTTCACTGGAGACTGTGAGGTGGAGCTGAAAGCCATGGTATGCACTTGTCATGCCTTGACCTGGAAGAACTTACAGGCTAATCCATAGGTGGTCCGTGCTTAACTGCACTGCTTGACCCACAAGTCAGGAAATTGTTTTGCTCTGGGGTGGCATTGCACCTACAGACAGAGTGGTAAGAGTTGCAGGGCACAAATGGGCAGCTGCTGCCCTTCCTGTCCTCAGCCTTAGGTCGCTCTGGAATGTAACAGGTCATTCCAGTACAGTGAAGTAAATGGAGTAATTCCTCATTGCAGGGATGCTCGCCAAGTGGAAGAGAAAGATTTTTCTCAATGCAGTTAAAGTAAAAAGGAGGCAGCCACCACCTGAGAGACCTGGCTCTGCCAAGGCAAGAGCACCCCATGGCAGCAGCTATTTCTTGCTGTGGTTTTTGTTGTTGGTTTTGTGGGGTGGGGTTGTTTGTTTGGGTTTTTTGGTTTTGGATTTTGTTTTGGGGTTTTTTTGCCTTTTTTTTAAGACCCAGGTCCTAACTGAATCCAGGAACATCTGTGTTTTGCATTTAAACTTTAGCTCAGCTTTACAAGCAAGAACCACACAACAAGCATCGGGCATTTCAGTTTGCATTTTTGCCTTTTAACATTACCCTTCCCATAGAAGCCTCTAGTTCTGACACATGTCAGTGGTGTCTAAAAATTAGATCTGTCCTCAATTGGAGTGGGGTCTCTCCCTTACATTTCCCATGCCAGGGAAGTTTTTAACAGTACACAGCTCCTCCTCAAAGATGTTGAAAAGGAGGCTAGAGCTTCGAGTTAGGGATGAATGCAGCAGTACCTCTGAAGGTTCCTTCCAGTCCTGTGATCCTGTGATTCCATGAATTGTGTATTACTGGACTAACCCAAAGCAGTGACAGTCATGTGGCTGGCTTGGCTCAGACAAATGAGAGCACGTGACCATGGCTTTGTTGGTTTCTGCCATTATCAAGTGAATTGCTTTCTGGATTTTTTTCCATCTAGGGTCTAGTGAGTTTGGTTTTAAAAAAAGATAGTGAAGGCAGAAGTTAATCGTGTTACCATCATTAAAAATAGATACCTCAAAATGGTCACCTGTATGAGTCAAAAGTATCTTGACTTTTTTGGAAGAGGAATATCTGCAATTGCAAATTGGTTCAAAGGTTAAATCTGGAATCTGACCTTGATATTTGATTCCTTTTTTTGTTTCCTTGATACTCTGGGATGGATGAGAGAGCTATAACTTAAAAAATTGGGGGAAAATGGTTTGAA